CGTGTACGTTCGCCTGGCGCTGGTGGGCGACATGGGCGTGACGACATGTGGCTCATTCTCTGCCGCACCCATTCTATGTAGGGAGACCTCGGTGCAGAGGCGCCGCGTGGGCGTGATGCGATGCAGGTCCCAAAGCATGCCGGAGGACTCAGGCACCTTGCCTGAATCACGACGCTTGCGGCAGCTGGCGACCGCTGTCCTGGAGCCCAGATCGTTGCCGCCTGTTTCACAGAACTCGACGGATTAATGATTGACCGCTGTGGGGGCCCTGCCGAATCGGGCCCTGCCGAAATCAAGCGATGCTGCCTCAGGCGGCAGTAGACTGGGCAAGAGCTTTGGTTGGATGATGGTAGGCAAGAACGGATGCCCAGTGCCATGTAATAAAGTAGGAAGCAGGAGCTTCCCAGACCCACAAGCAGTTGCGCCGCCCCCCCCCTTGCTTTTTTTTTCCCTTTCACCCAGTCCAAGGCCCAAGGTAGGTCCAACCAAGCACGCTCGACTCACAGTCAGCCTGGACCACTGGCGCCAAAAAAACCACCTTCCTCCAAAACCTGAACCCACGTCGCCGTCCCCGATCCACGCCCCTAGGGACCTCTTCAACGAAAGCCCATCTCGCGACGACACCCGGTCTTCTTCGAAGCCTCGTCAAAGGGTTGCGTTCCTCTCCCCCTTCTTTCCATCGATGGGCGTCTGAACACACGTATCGCTGCCGAGTTTTGGATGTTTACTCTTCTCTCCACCACCCTTTCTCGGTGATATACACGCGTTTCCTGCACCGTGTCGACTCTTCTTGTTCCTTCCTACCTACTTCCCTACGCTTTCCATCACGACGACCGCGCATCACCCTTTTCTTCCGTCCGCGTGTGTACCCAAGGCGGAGCGCCACTCTTGACGCGACCCGATCTTGATTCCGATCTTGATTCCGATCTTGATTCCGATCCCGATCTCGGTCCTTCCTTCGTACTCGACGATCCTACAGAACTCGCCCGTCAACGCACGCCTCCTTTGTCACCCTTCTCTGCCTCCCTCCATCCCCTTCTCTCCTCCTCACACCTCCAGCAGGCAGTTCCATCCTTCATCATGGATCACAACGCTACGCCGCGTAGCCGCCCGGGCCTCAAGTTTGCCACGAACCGCGTCTACCAGGCGTCACCTCTCAATCCCAACAAGCGTCTGTCCACCCCCCAGACTGCGCCGTCGCGCAAGACCCTCCACCGCGATGAGCCGTCGACGGGCACCTTCGACAGCCACTCTTCATCCGTCTCGGCCTCGCGCAACATTTTCCGATCCTCCTCCGTCAGCAACAACTCCTCCACAACGCCCTTTGCTCCCAAGCTGCCAGCCGACACGAGGACCAAGGTCTTCGCGCCTGGCGGCACCCCCGTCTCCCAAAAGGTCTACCGGGACGTGACAGCGCAGGCGACACCGCGCGGCATGATGGCCAAGTCCGCGTCGGCCGAGCTCTTCACCATGCGCATCCCCTCCCCTCCGCCTGAGCTCTCGGGCGAGGCTCTCGCCAAGAAGGTGCCCTCGCATCTCGACTCGAAGGGCACCGTCTACGCCGATCAGTTTCTCCAGGAATACGTTCCTCGCGAGTATGACGACCTGCAGCGCCGTCAGCTCTTCTGCATTCTCGATCTGCGCCGTCTGAAGCATTCGGCCAATGAGGTGTTTGCGAAGAAGGACTGGAAGCTGAACATTATGAACTTTGCCAAGGAGTTTGAGAAGAGCAGGAGCCTGATCATGCTGCGTTATGGTCTCTACGAATTCAAAAACGTCAAGCCCTCGGGTGACGTTCTCCGAAAATGGCGGGCTGCGCACGGCCTGCCCGACGAAGAGGAAGGCGCTTCCACGCCGGTCAAGCAGAATGGCGCCAAGTCGGGCGCCTCGAAACGCAAGGCCGACGATGACTTGAGGTCGGCCGACGCATCTTCGTCCGCGGCACCGCTCTCGGCGAACAAGAAGCGCGCGTTCGACAAGAATGAGGCTCCCTCGGCCACGCCTGCCCCGAGCAACAACAAGAGGAAGGCTTCTGTCAGCAACGAGGCCGAGGAAAGCCAGCCTTCCAAGCAGCAGAAGTCGTCAACGCCCTCCGCCACGAGATCCATGTTCGAGAGCGCTTTCAACAACAAGCCATCGACGAGCTCGACACCCCCTCAAGGTACGACGCAGTCATCCGCACCCGCTTCGGCACCAAAGCCGAACCCCTTTGCTCCCGTCTCCAAGCCCGCCGACGTTGCTGCGGCTCGTTCCGTCTTTGAGAATCTGAAACAATCCGAAGGCCCGGGTAACATCTTTGGATACCTCTCCGACACGAGCGCGAAGAATAGTGGAGTGGATGCTGACGCTGAAAGCGAGTCAGACTCGGAAGAGGACGAGGCCGACACGCAGGATACCGGTCGCCAGAGCGACGAGCCCAGCGTCGTCGCCAGCGGCGGGGCCGACACGCCGTCGTCGCAACCGGCGAGCAGCCTCTTTGCGCCGCAAAAGTCTCTCTTCCCGAGCGCGCCCTCGGCCGCGGCGTCTAGGGAATCCACGCCGGGGCGAAGCCTGTTCGATCGCGTCACCAAGGACCAGACCGGGGAACCTGTGCGCGCGGGCTCTGTCGAGACAAGCAAGAGCATCGAGCCCCCCAGCGCCGCAACCGAGGCTAGGGCTGCCAGCCCGGTCAAGGAAGCTCCTGCTGCACCAGTCAATGCCACCTGGACGCCCGACACGCCGATCAAGTTTGGTGCCGCTGCTGCCCCGGCTGGTGCTGCTGCCCCGGCTGGCGCCGCGGGCCACATTTTTGGTAGCTCGACCACCAACGGAAGCTCGCTCTTCGGCGCGGCCAAGTCGACCCCGTCTCCCGCCTCCAGCCTGTTTGGTGCGCCAAAGCAGCAGGACGCCCCGGCCAAGGATCAGCCGGCCCCGGCCAAGTCTGCGTCAGCGGAACCAGACAAGTCGGGCGAGTCCGACAAGGAGAACGACGCCCAGCCTGCACCCAAGCCAATCTTTGGCGGGTTCGCTCCCAAGCCAGCCGAACCTGCCAGCGCTTCGTCCCTGTTCCAGCCAAAGCCCAGCGTCGAGTCGGCCACCAAGACTGCGACGCCTACCTTCACCTTTGGTGCCCCCAAGGCCGACGAGACCAAGGCCTCCACGCCCCCGGCGTCCAGCTTGTTTGGCACGCAGGACAAGCCAAAGGACTCGGTCTTGGAGTCGTCCACTCTGTTTGGAGGATCCAGCAAGCCTGCCGGTTCCAACGCGACACCTGCGGCCGAGCCTCCCAAGTCCAACCTTTTCGGGTCCGCCGCCGGTTCGGCGCCCTCGACCCTCTTCGGTTCGTCGTCTCAGCCGACTGCGAACGCGTCAAGCCTCTTCGGATCGTCGTCGCAAACGAATGCCAACGCCTCGAGCCTCTTCGGTGCGAAACCGTCGACGGGCAGCGATGCCGGAAGCAACGGCGCCTCCAGCCTCTTCAGCAAGCCAACGACACCCACGCCTCCTCCCAGCTTTGGCGCCGGCGCGGGCACCGCCAAACCCTTCACCTTCGGTGCTACTAGCGCGGGTGACGCCGCGCCCTCCCAGACGAACAACCTCTTCGGCGCCGCCTCCAAGACCCTCTCACCACCTGCCGCCTCCAGCACTCCCATGTTCGGCGGCAGCCCGATGAAGCAGGACGACAAGTCGGGTGAGCCGCCGGCCAAGAAGGCCTTTGGTGGCGCCTCCACCGAGCCGTCGTCGACGACGCCGTTCAGCTTTGGCGGCGCGTCGAGCACTCCTGCGGGCAACCTGTTCGGGGCCGCGTCCCAGCCTCAAGGACAAGCGTCCGCAAACTCTTCCTTCACATTCGGCAACGGTGGCGACAGCGGCGCGGCATCTTTCAACAACCCGTTCAGCTTCGGCAGCAACGGGGCGGCAGCGGCGGCGCCGTCGCCTGCCCCATCCGGTGGCATGTTCAACTTTGGCGCAGGATCCTCAGCCCCGGCAGCCCCCACGTCCGGGAACGCGGCGCCCTTCCAGTTTGGTGCCGGCGGAACATCTCCTGGCCGTCGCATCGGCAACTCGCCCTTTCAAATTCGGGCG